CTAGTTATTTATTAAACTTATTAATAATAATAATTCTTTTTCTTAGTATATAATTAATTTTAAATTTATATTATATTAATAGTTCTATTTATCTAGTTTATTATTAATTTAATTATTTTATTATTATAAAGTATATTAAATTTTTATAATCTATAAATACTTTAATATTTTCTATTATTAAAATATATTAATTATTATTATTAATTCTTTATTATAAATATTATAATTTTATTTTATATCTATTATTTTATATAAATAATATATTATAAAATACTATTTTTTTATTTATTTTCTATTATAAATATACTTTTATAATTATATTTAATATATTAGTTTTAATTTAAATTACTTTTTCTAATTAAAAAGTTTTTAATATTAAAGTTTTAATATATTTTTTTATTAACTTTATTAAAAGTAATATAATTTATAAAAACTTTTATATAAATTTCCTATTAAAGTTAATTATTTAAAAGAATAATTATAGTTTTTTAATTATTATTAGTTTTAATTAATTTAATATTACTTATATCTTTTTAAAATTTATTATTAAGCTTTTAATATTTATAATATATCTTAAGAAAAATACTTTTTTTTTATAAAATTTTTACTTTTTTAGTTTAAATTTAAAGTTCATTTCTATTAAATATATAAATATTTTTTATATATTTTTTATATATTATTATATTATTTTTAAAAATATTAATATACTATTTAAATATATAATAATATATTAGTTTAATAGGTTTTTTAAAATATTATTAATTAATTCCTAGTATAATACTAATATATTAATTAACTTAAAAGATATAACTATATATTTATATAATTGATATTTTATTTTAAAAGCTATTTTTTATTTATAGCTTTTAACTATTTATATTAAATTATATACTTTATATATATTAAATTTTAAAAGTTATTCTATTTTTTATAATTAGTTTTTAAGTTTATTTATATTTAATAATAAATATTAATTTTTTATTATAATTTTATTAAGTTTTTTATAATTTATATATAACTATAATTTACTATTCTTTTTTAAAATAAAAAAAATTAAATATTTAGCTAAAAAAGATAATAGTTTTATAAATCTTTTTATAAAATTATTTTTTAAATATTTATTTAAAGCTTTAAGTTCTATTTTTAATAGTTAATATATAAGTTTAAATATTAATTACTTACTATTAATTAACTTAATTTAATAATTCTAAAGTTAATATAATAATAATACTTCTTTTCTTTATTTATTTTTAAAAAAATATATTTATTTTTTATATTTTAGTAATATAAGAGTTTTATTGATATTTTTCCTTTTAGCTTTATAATTAGTTAACTTATTTTCTATATCTATTAAAGTTAATATACTATTTAATTACTTATTTTTTAAGATTTAAAATATATAAGTACTTATAATATTTTATTAAATTTTTTTATTTAAAGTTATAATTATAAACTACTTAGGTTTTTAGGCTTTAATAATAAGCTTATTTTTAAATTTTAGTTTTTTAAATAGCTAATTAATTATTAAGTTTTATTTTTTTAATTAAAATATTTTTAATATAATATTATAAGTAGTTATTTTAAATATATTAAATATTATATTTTTATTATACTATTAAATAGCTATTATTATTTATATATTTTTTTTATAATTAAATTAGTTCTTACTATATCTTCTATAGCTATTATAATTATATATAATTTATTTATTATTTATATTTTAATTTATACTTCTTATACTTTTTATTTTAAAATATAATTTTTTCTTATTTTTATATTAATAAATATAGTTATTAGTATATTATTAAGCTATATATTTATTATAATATATAGGTTATATCCTTTAGTATTTTATCTTTTATTAAAATTATTAATAATTTTTTTAAATAATATTCTTTATTATAATTTCTTATTTTAATATATTTTTATAATATTACTATATAGGATTCTATTACTATATTAAAAGCTAGTCTTCTTTTTATAAAATATATAATAAGTATACTCTATTTTCTAATTCTTTTATTAAAGATTAGTAATATAATTTATATTATTTATCTTTATATTTTAGAAAGAACTTATTATTATATTTATTAATTAAATAAGAAATAAATTAATTAATTATATAATTAGTTTATATAGTTTTTTTATAAGGTTTTTAACAAATAATCTATTATATTACTATTTTAAAGATTCTATTTTCTAATATATTAAATTAGAAGTTAATATAAAAGTATAATATTTACTTTTAAAAATTATTTATTATTATCTTTTAATTTTATATTTCTATATTATTTTAATTTATTAAAAAAATTCTATAATTTATTTTTAAAATACTTTTATTTATAATTATATTATTTATATATTTATTATTTTTATTTAAGTTATTTTATTATATTATTAAGGTTTATATTAAATAGTATAAATCCTTTTTTTATATATTTTATAAAATATTATTTAATATATTAATTTATTTTTACTTTTTATATTTAATTAATATTTATTTTTAAGTATTATTATTTATTATTATAAAGGATAGTATATCTAAGTTTATATTACTTATTAAGCCTTTAATTTCCCTATTATTAATTAATAATAAATATAATAATAAAAGTCTTTATAAAATATTTAATTACTTTTATACTTAGTTCTTTAACTAGTAATTATATATAATATATCTTATTTTATTATATTTATAATACTTCTTTTAGTTAAGCTTTCTATAATTATTTTTACTATTATTTTATAGTATTAATATATTTAGCTATTTTACTTTATAGTTATAGTATCTTTAATATTTTATTATATTATTATTATATTTTATAGTAACTTATTCTATATATTATCTTTATTATTTATTTTACTTTATATATTATTAATATTTTTAATATTTCTATTAGAATATATAAGTTTATTTTAAATATTATTTTTTAGTCTTTACTTAAATATAAATATTTAAGTTTTATTATTCTATTTTATTATTATTATATAATACTAGAAAATAGTTATATAATTAGCTACTTTTTTAGTTTATTATAATTATTATATTATTAATTTAATATATTATCCTTTATTAATAAGTCTAAATATTTATTAAATTTATTTTTTAAACTTAAAATAGTTATTAATCTATTTATAGATTTCTATATTAATAATTTTATTTATATATTTTTTAAAGTTTAAGTTAATTTATAATAATACTTTACCTTTTATATATATTATTATAAAGGCTATTTTAATTTTAATTTTAATATTAAATATTAATTTAAAATAAAAACTTAATTAAAATAATTAGTTATTAAGCTTATTCTTTTTTTTATAAAAGAAGTTAAGTTTTAAAAGTTTAGTTCTATTCTTTTTGATAATAGTTAAGGTAATTAATATATTATATACTTTTATTAGGAGTATTATTTACTTATTATAAATATAATTATATTTATTTTAAAAGTATTTAATATATTATAACCTTAATATTTAAATTAATAAATAATATTAGCTAATTTAACTATAAATATATAAGTTAGTTTTCTTAGAATATAAATAATAGTTAAAAGATAAATAAAAATAAAATAATAAAATAAAATTAAGTTATAACTATTTTAACTTTTATAATAAAGAATAAAACTTTATATTAAATATAAGGAAATTTATCTAAAAAGGGAATAAAAAGTTTTATATATATAATTTTATTTAATTTATTTAATAGTATTTAACTTTTAATTATTTTAAGTTTATTTAATTTAAAGATTATTTAATATTTTTAACACTTAAGTATACTTAAATATTTTAGCTATTTTTTCCTTTTTTTAGTTTCATTTTTTAAAACTTAGTATAACTATAGTCTTTATTTTATAATAGTTATTTAGTTATATTTATTATATAATACTTAGCTTCTATACTAGAGCTATATAAATTTAATAATTTAATAATTTAATAATATTCTATTCTATATTATTTTATATTATTATAAATATAGCCTATATTTACTTAACTTTAAAAGAAACTATATTTATTATAATTATTTTATATATTAATTTTAAATAAGTAGTTAATTAATTTTATTTCTATTTTTATTAAATTTATTTAAATCTTTTAAATTAATTAGATTATATACTTAGAGGGCTATATTATAATAATATATATCTTAAGTTACTAGTCTTTTTTAAGAAAAGTTAAATTTTTTTTAAAAATATTTTAACCTTTTAATAAAAACTTCTTAGATATATAAAAAATCTAGAAATTAAAAATAAGAGTATTATTAAGAGTATTATATAATATATAATAATAATAATTTTTTATAAATTAAAATCTCTTCTATTAAAAAATTTAATATAAATATTATTTTAAGTTTTATATATAAAAGATAATAAGCTTTTTAATAATATAAAATTTCTAATTAATATTAACTTAAATTATAATAAATTAATAATTAAAAGTTTCTTAGTAATAAAGTTAATATATTTTAAAAACTAAAATATAATATTAAATTTTTTTAAAATTATTTCTAAAAAAAAGAATAACCTAAAAGTTAATATACTTATTTAATAATATTGAAGGTAAAATATAAGAAAGAATCCTTAAATTAATGAAGTAAAAGGATTTTCAAAGAGATAATTTAATTATAATAGTGGGCCTTCCTCCTCCTATCGATATATAAGTACCGTAGTCTACTTAACTGAGATCATCTATGAATTCAACCACAATTGAAGCTTGCCTAGTTCGTCACAGGATCATTTCACACCATTACGAATGGACTCTTCCAGCATTTAGATGTCTCAAAGCATGTCCATCAAAAATTGTGAGAGCGAAGTCTGAGGAGACCCAATACAGCAGTCTGAAAATAAGGCCCCCTACCTCCTAAGCACTAACTATAGTTTCTCTTTCGATCTCCACGCAAAAGCAAGACCCCAACGTGAGTCACCGCTCGGACGTTTATCGCAATATTGTAACAATAATTTACAATCTATGATCTTTAGCTCCGCTTTTCGAAGTAGTCTCCAAGCATGTCAACTACTGATTCTGATGTGGAAGACAGGCCCAATCCAGAACCTTCCCAGCCTCCATTGAAGAGATCTAAAGATGTCTCTCCCCAGCAAAGCATTGACAAATTCTGGAGGAGGTTCACCACCAAACACCCCGGGAAGCCTTTCACCACCTTACCTGACAATCTGTATGCGAAACGAGCTGCAATACAAGCAGCTCGGCAGCCTGCTGCATCAAAAAATGCAGTCGCGTCATACGAACAGGCTGCCGCGACCTGCAAAGCAAAGGTTGACAAGATTGTCCACGCTTGCCGGAGGCTGAATCAAAAGTACAAGGATCCTCATTTCGACATCGAATTTGACTATCTGCAGTGGCAGTGGTATGGCCGTGTAGAGGACTGCTTGGCACCTCTCGATGCCGATGAAACAGAGCTTAGGCCTTTGTCGGTCAAGAGGGTCGAGGTGTGTTTGGCACCCCTGGGAAATTATCTCTAAGTGCTGGGCTAAATGCAAAAGGACATATTCGACGAGCCTCAGTTCTATATTGAAGGTATGACGGCAAGTGACGTACGTCAGGGGCGAGATGGAGATTGCTGGTTCATGTCGTCCATCTGCACCCTGACGAATAAAGAAGATCTCCTTGAAAGGGTCTGTGTTGCCCGAGATGAGAAAGTCGGGGTCTACGGCTTCGTTTTCCATCGTGGTATGTTCCAACTATGGACTCATCTTTAGCTGGCTGATGGAAAATGAGATGGCGAATGGATATCAGAAGTGATCGATGACAAGCTGTACTTGGCCAAAGAAGATTTTCACGAATCACTCTGGGAACAATTCAGTTGGCTTACAATTGACATGCCGAACGCTGATGACGAATACCGAAAAGTCATGCAAACAGGCAGCAAAAGTTTGCATTTCGCGCAGTGCAAGGACCAGAACGAGACATGGCTCCCACTTCTCGAAAAAGCTTATGCAAAAGCCCATGGCGATTATGGTGTTATCGAAGGGGGTTGGGTGGGGTAAGGAACCTAACAATGATGAATCGCTATGCTCATGTATGGCATAGTGAAGGATTAGAAGACTTGACTGGCGGTGTTACGTCTGAATTATTTGCTGCTGATATCCTTGATAAGGACAAATTTTGGACAGACGAGTTAATGAATGTTAACAAGCTATTTCTCTTTGGCTTGGCTCAGATGGGTGGCTTGTTCGGGGAGAGAAGGGGTATCATCGAAAAACATGCTTATTCAATCATGGAAGCAAAGGAGTTGGACAACTTTCGTTTATTGAAAATAAGGTAAATTCCCGCTACAGCCTTTTACTTGGGCAAAGATGGACGGAACAAACCTCTAGAGGAGCCCGTGCAATATTTTACCAGGCTGCCTAGCTGTACTTGCTCCTCAGCCTCCGGCTAATTGAAGTCTAGGAATCCATGGGGAAAACACGAGTGGGATGGTCCGTGGTCAGATGGGTCGGAAGAATGGACGCCCGACCGTGAGTAGCCTTATTACGAAGTCCCATTACCGTAGTGAGGACGTTGGATCTGATCTAGGGAACGCCTTCTTGGGCCAATGACCCTAAGCCAAATTACAATACTGACCCAAAAATGACAGGCATGCGGCGCCTTGGTCATATATTTGGAAACGACGGCGTAAGTTACGTCCTGAAAAGAGAAAAGCCCTGCATCTTGCTCATCTGATAGGTTTTCTGGATCTCGTATAAAGATCTTCTCAAGCATTTCCAACACATTGACCGCACTCGGCTTTTTGGCGCGGACTGGTCAATCACACAACATTGGACGAATGTAAATGTCCCCTGGACCGTCAACTACCTAGATACCCATTTCAAGATATCAATGCCCAGAGCTAGCCATGTTGTCATCGTCCTTTCCCAGGTAAGATCTTTGCTGGTGTCAAGGAAGCCATTCTTATGATTGCATTACAGCTGGACGACCGTTATTTCCGAGGTCTCACTGGCCAATACGATTTTGAACTTCAATTTCGCCTGCATAAGGATGGCGAAGACGACTACATTGCACGAAATAACCCCTCATATTTCATGACTCGCTCAGTGACCACAGAATTAGAGCTTGAAGCTGGGCAGTACTCTGTAATGATCAAGGTTTCTGCCACTAGGGCCAAATCAAAGCCAACCCCGGAGCAAATCATCAAGAAGACCTGTCACACACGTCGAGATAAATTGATGGCGGTTGGTTTGAGCTATGACCTCGCTCACGCTAAAGGTCGTTTCAAGGAAATCGAATCGGAACGGAAAAAGCGCCTTCAGGTGGAACGACGTGAAAGGAGAAGACGACAGGCTGAAAAAGCGTTTGGAGCGCAAAGAAAGGCGAACAAGAGAGAAAAGCTCAAAAGACTGCGTCTTGAGGCTAAAGAGAAAGCTAAAAAAGGAAGCGAAGCAGAGAATAAGGACGAGACTTCAACAGAGGATAAAGGGGCAGAAATCGTGATCAAAATTGGTGAAAGCGGTCTAAAATTTGGTAAGGCTCAAGACATAGATGAGCATGGCAGGAGCAAGGCTTTGGAAGGTCACGCTGCGCAAGGAGAGACGAGCAAATCACTAAAGGTGGTTGTGGAGGCTTACGACAAGATGGGAGGTCTACAAAGAGGTACACAAGCAGTGAATGAGGCGACGGAGCCATTCAAGAAAAATGAAAATGCACTGATTGAGGAAGGCAGTCCCGCGTCGGGAGAGGCTGAAGCTGCAGACAAGGATGACAAGGGCGTAGAAAAGACGACCAATACCGGAGTTGTGCTGCCCGCAACAAGCGAGTCAAGGAACCGGCAGGAAGGCTTAGCTTCCTTACCCGGCCTGCAGCCTGACACTTCGGCCAAAAGCGGCTCTAACGCAGAGGAGAAGAAAGCAGACGATCCTAGTGTTATGCACTATACGCCTGCTGATAGTGATGTCCATGCTGGAATCAGGACAGATGCGAACAAAACCAAGAAGTTTGATCCTGAGATGCTACCTCCGAAGCTCCTGCTAGATGAAATCAGCGATGATGGCCTCAGCTGGGCTAGCGATGTTGATGTACCTTCTAGTAGTTCTTCTGAAGCCGAACCAGACTCCGATGAAGAAGACCCAGTATCCGAGCCTTCGGTCTCATCTCCGTCGTCCGAAAAACAAGCAGACGATATTTCCCCATGGAACGCGGTCTGCGTCATTGGTTTGCGTCTTTACTCGAAAGGGTCGCAGGCTGAGATTGAAGTCGTCAGACAGCAAGATGATGGGGGAAGTACGGGGAACAAGAAATTGGATGTGGACGATCGAGCAGCAGACGCGACGAAGAAATTGCAGAAAGGTAGCCCTCAAGAGGAGCGGCAACTGAACACTGTGGACACAGCGCCGGTAGGGGAGGAGGAATCGAAGCAGGGGTAGAGAAGAGGACATTCTCCGTCTGGATAGCCGTTCAGGTCGTTGACCGCGGGATGTAAGCGATGTCGTCTGCCGTCTGCCATTTCCTGAATTTTGTCGCAGTGCAATTCTCCTTAGGGCCTCATTATTCGTCGAGGACATTGTCTTGGTGCCCTTTTAAACTTGTTTCCATCAAAGCGTATGCGTATTTCACTCATTATAGTCAGCTCAGTTTATAGCTCATTATAGTATACATGATCAGGAATACAGTCAATGAGAAGTCCAAAATCGAGCAAGACAGATTCCTGTCTTATATGAGCAAATGCACCTCCAGCACAGACCTTTGCAACATCATCCTTCCCCATTGCACATAGCGAGTATCGTGCGATAGAATCTGAAGCTGCACAGCATATCAGATGCAAGGGCGATAAGCACAAATCTGTCGAGAAAACGGAGAGCTTTGGCGAAGTACTTTTGTCGATAGATTTTGCAGCCATAGAGCGTATAAGATGCCAGAGTGATAAGCCCAAGGATGACGAAAGAAAGCTCTGTCAGGAAAGTACTTTTACAGTATCCGCCAAAGGCCATAGCACTACCTGTATGGGTCTTGAGCGTTACCCCTAAGATGGTGGGCCTGGACGAGGTGAACTTGATATTTGCTCCATTTGGTAAAGTCTGTCTTGGATTTACACCCGGGAACCGGCATCTAGCTGGCCCTTGTATTGTATTGTAGTGATTGTCTCTCATGTGCTTCTGGTATGAATATAGGTTGTGAAACATAGTTGGATCAGTGCAGTCCTCCTTGCTGCATTGTCTGGGGTTCCATTTGTGTATATCGCGAACGTGCATGTTGAGGTATTGTTTATTTTTGAAGGCTGATGCACAACCCTCATAGGTACACACGTAGGGTTTTGAGAGCAAGATCTTGGCCTCAGCGGATGTTATCTTGCAGCCAGACTCGTGGCCCCTCATCTGGGGTAGGTACTTGACCTGGTAAGTACAGCCGTGTTGAGCATTTTTGCAAGGAAATTCCCAATGGGACAGCTCGTCTTTGGAGCCTCCCGAGTAGTACTCGGCTGTTATCCTTTTCTCCAACGAGCTAGGCTTACTCACGGTCTGGTTGTTGGTGATGTTGATAGTCGAGAATTTCTTCACAAACTCTAACGGTGATATGACGGTGGCGTTGTGGGGCTCTCTATTTTCTTGCTGCAGCTCTTCGAGCATTGCCTCCTCAAGACCGGCGGGGATTTGCTCGTCGTTGGTACCGCTCACAATGTTGCTCATAGCTTCAGCTCCTACAAGTAGCTGAGGATCAATAGGGATCTCGTCGTCATCAGTGTCATCGAAATCAGGAGGGTTGGTAACGTTCGGTGGCGTAGCGGCTTGCGGGCTTGGGGTCTTGTGGAAAAGTACTTTTGACGCTCGTAGTAGGTCAGACTGCATGCGCCTCAAAGAAGGATATAAGAGAGTCTCACCTGGTGGATGATGCTCATCTCGATCCATTTCTTGCTGCATCCATTCCGTAACATCTTCTTTCCTCATACTGCGACTAGCTTTCTGCCGGTCGTTTTTAGCAGACGCATCGAGATGATTTTCCTCATATCTTTTGGTTTTATTACTTCTACTAAAAAGCTAAGGCTAGGGCTAAGGGGGCTATAGTATTTATTATATAACTTAATTAAGCTTTTTAATAATATTAATATTAAAGTCTATAGTATAATTATAACTTAAATTATAGAAATTATATAGCTAGAAACTAGTAAATATAATTATTTCTTAATTAAGTATTATAACCTTGCGCAATAGGCGTGACTAGGTAACCGCTATAGGATAGAGACTATAGCTATATTAAGTTACAAGAAAGAATAACTAAAAAGAGGAAAAAATAGCTAAAATACTTAAGTATACTTAAGCATTAAAAGTATTAAACAACCTTTAGATTAAATAAGCTTAAAGTAATTAAAAGTTAAATATTATTAAGTAAGTTAAATAAAATTATATATATAATATTTTTTATTCCTTTCTTTAAATAGATTTTTTTATATTTAATATAATATTTATTCTTTATTATAAAATCTAAAATAGTTATAATTTAATTCTATTTTATTATTTTACTTTTATTTATTTTTTAATTATTATTTATATTTTAAAAGAACTAACTTACTAATTTATAATTAAATTAATTAATATTATTTACTAGTTTAAATACTAAAATTATAATATATTAAATACTTTTAAAATAAATATAATTAGATTTATTATAAGTAAATAATACTCCTAGTAAAAGTATATAATATATTAATTAACTATTACTAAAAAAGATAGAATTAAACCTTTAAAGTTGAATTTCTTTTATAAAAATAAAAAAAAACCCTATAATTAGTTATTCTAGTTAAATCTTTATTTTAAATTAATATTTAATATTAAAAGTAAAATTAAAATAGCTTTTACAATAATATATATAAAAAGTAAAATATTATTATAAATTAGTTTAGACTTTAGAAAGTATATAAATAAAACTATTAATATAGAAATTTATAAATAAATTAAAAATTATTCTAAATATAAAAAATAAGTTTAATAAATATTTAAACCTATTAATAAAAAATAATATATTAAATTAGTAATATAATAATTATAATAAACTAAAAAAGTAACTAATTATATAATTATTTTTTAGTATTATATAGTAATAATAGAATAGAATAATAAAGTTTAAATATTTATATTTAAATAAAAACTAAAAATAATATTTAAAATAAGCTTATATACTATAGTAGAGAAATTAAAAATATTAATAATCTTATAAAAATAGTAATTAAAATTAATAATAAGCTATATTAATAATATATAAAATAAAACAAATAATAAGAATAGTATATAAAATAAATTATTATAAAATATAGTAATAATATAATAAGATATTAAGGATACTATAACTATAAGGCAAAATAATTAAGAAGTACTAATCTATAAAGTAACCCTATAGAGCTAAATATATTAATATTATAATATAATAATAAAGGTAATTATAAGAAACTTAACTAAAGGAAATATTATAAATATAATAAAATAAAATATATTATATATAATTATTAGTTAAAAAACTAAGTATAAAGATAGTTAAATATTTTATAAAAACTTCTATTACTATACTTATTATTAATTAATAATAAAAAAGCTAAAAACTTAATAAGTAATATAAACTTAAATATATTATTTTTTATGATAATAAATAATAATACTTAAAAACAAATATTAATTAAATATAAAAAATAAAAATAAATTAATATATTAAATAATACTCTATAAAATATAAAAAAAGTATATAAATTATTTAATATAAACTTTAATAATATAATAGAATAATTTAAATAAAAATAATAAATATATAAATAATATAATTATAAATAAAAATATTTTAAAAATAAACTATAAAACCTTTTTAATAAACTAAGATAGTATAAAAATATAAAATTAAGAAATAGTAATAAATAACTTTTTAAAAAAGTACTATACTTTTATATAAACTTTTAATTTAAATACTAAGTAAATAATACTATATATATATTAGAAAATGAAATCTAAAAAAAAAAAATATAATAAATTATTTATTAGGAACTTTATAAAAGAATTATATAGACTAATTATATAATTAACTAATATATATTATATTTAATTAATAAATATAAAAATAAGTTCTTTCTAAGATATAAAAATAAATAATATAAGTTATATTACTAATCTTTAATAAAAGAACTAAAAAATAGAATATACTTATTATATATCCTCTAAGAAGAAGACTAGCTTTTAATATAATAATAGAACTTTATATAGTAATATTATAAAAATATATTATATAAAATATATTAAACTAAGAAATTATAATAGGGAATATTACTTAAAATAATAATTAATAATTTTAGTAAAATATAAAATATTAAAGGATATAACTTATATATTACAATAAATATATAGCTTAATAATATACTAATAACTATATTTATAAATATAGGAGTAAAAAGAAATTATATCTTAAAATAAAAAGTATAAAAAGTATAAATTAAAATATAAATAATAAATAAATTATATATAATAATAATAGCTATAGGAGATATAATAGGAATAAACTTAATTATAAAAAAACTATATAAATAGTAATAGTTATTTAATAGTATAATAAGAATATAATATTTAATATATTTAAAATAGCTATTAATAATATTATACTAAGGATATTTTAGTTAAAAAAGTAGAATTTAATTATTAACTAATTATTTAAAGAATTAAAATTTAAAAATAAGCTTATTATTAAAGCTTAGAAACCTAAGTAGTTTATAACTATAACTTTAAATAAAAGAATCTAATAAAATATTATAAGTATTTATATATTTTAAATCTTAAAAAATAAGTAGTTAAATAATATATTAATTTTAGTAAATATAAAAGAAAAATTAACTAATTATAAAGCTAGAAAAAAGAGTACTAATAAAGCTTTTATACTATAAAAATATAAAAAATAAAAAAAAAGTATTATTATTATATTAATTTTAAAATTATTAGATTAAATTAATTAATAATAAGTAACTAATATTTAAACTTATATATTAATTATTAAAAATAGAATTTAAAACTTTAAATAAGTATTTAAAAAAAAATTTATAAAAAAATTTATAAAGTTATTATTTTTTTAGCTAAATACTTAATTTTTTTTATTTTAAAAAAAAATAGTAAACTATAATTATATATAAATTATAAAAAATTTAATAAAATAATAATAAAAAATTAATATTTATTACTAAATATAAATAAATTTAGAAATTAATTATAAAAAGTAGAATAGTTTTTAAAACTTAATATATATAGAGTATATAATTTAATATAAATAGTTAAAAACTATAAATAAAAAATAGCTTTTAAAATAAAATATAAATTATATAAATATATAATTATACTTTTTAGGTTAATTAATATATTAATATTATACTAAAAACTAATTAATAATATTTTAAAAAACCTATTAAATAAATATATTATTATATATTTAAATAATATATTAATATTTTTAAAAATAATATAATAATATATAAAAAATATTAAAAAAATATTTATATATTTAATAGAAATAAACTTTAAATTTAAATTAAAAATATATAAATTTTATATAAAAAAAATTTTTCTTAAAATATATTATAAGTATTAAAAGCTTAATAATAAATTTAAAGAAAATATAAGTAATATTAGATTAGCTAGAACTAATAATAGTTAAAAAATTATAATTATTTTTTAAAGTAATTAACTTTAATAAAAAATTTATATAAAAGTTTTTATAAATTATATTATTTTTAATAAAGCTAATAAAAAAAGAAATAAAATATAATTAAATTAAAGAATAATAATAAGTATTTAACTAACTAAAAAAAATATATATATAAAAATTCTAATACTAAAAACTTTTTAATTAAAAAAAATAATTTAAATTAAAACTAATATATTAAATATAATAATAAAAATATATTTAAAATAGAAGATAAATAATAAATAGTATTTTATAATATATTATTTATATAAAATAATAAATATAAAAGAAAGCTATAATATTTATAATAAAGAATTAATAGCAATAATTAATATATTTTAATAATAAAAAATATATATAAAAAAAGTAAAAAATATTAAAATATTTATAAACTATAAGAACTTAATATACTTTATAATAATAAAATAACTAAACTAATAATAAACTAAATAAATAAAACTATTAATATAATATAAGTTTTAAACTAATTATATACTAGAAAAAAATAATATTATTATTAATAAACTTAATAAATAATTAAATTTATATTAATAAAAATATAAATATTTAATAATAATATTTAAATAAAATAATAATAAAATATTATATTTAATATAAATTAATATATTTATAAAAAATAATTCCATTAGCTAAATATAAAAAATATATTAAAGTAATAAAATAGCTTAAAAATAGATTAATTTAAAATAGAAAAAGCTATTAAAGTATTAATAATAATATTATATACTAAAAAAACTTTTATAGAAACTAATAAAAAAATTTTATAATAATCTAAAGTATAAATATTTAAAAATAATTAAAATATATAAACTTATTAAATAAAATTAATTTTTATTAAATATAAAAATAGTAATTAATAAATATATTAAAGAATACTTTTTATATAAAAGAAATAAAGCTAAGAACTATAAAAAATATAATTATTTATAAAAAATATACTTATTAAAGTTTCTATAGCAATATATTATAATAGATTTTATAATAAAGTTATTATTATTATAAAACTTAAAAACTAAAAAAATATATAATACTATAATAGTTATAGTTAATAGATATATAAAATATATTATAATAATACTATTTAGTAAAATATATAATATAGTATAATTAGTATATATATTCCTAAGTAAAATAATTAGAATTAAAAGATTTTTTAAAGAAATAATTTTTAATAAAAATAAATTATTTATATTTTTATTTTAAAAAATAATTATAATAAAAA